GTAGAGGAGTGTGCTACCATGTGTTTCAAGGACCCCATCATCAGTTCTTGATCAACACCAGTGCTAAGATTTGGGCAACCACAATTTTCCAGTGGTTAGTGATGTCATAGGTTGCTATCACAGGGTATAACCGAGTTAAGAAAGCTCAGGCAAGCCTCGTGCTGATCAAGAGCAGATTAAAGAAACAGACACTAGGAAGATTCATATGGAAGTGATAAAATTGTGTAAATCATATAGGTACATTGTCATGGCTGGGCTGGGTGGTACACCCTTTTAACCCAAGCATTTGAAAGGATGAGACAGGTGGAGTTCTGTGAACTTTAGGGCAGCTTGGTTCTAGGCCAGCCAGGACTACCATAGTAAGATCAGACTCAAAAACAGAAGAAAAAGTGGTTGGGAATAGAGAGTCCCTCATCTGTGACCCCATCATGCTTATCCTAAGTATTCTCAAGACTCCCTGTCCTGGGTCAGCCTGGACCCCTGGCACTGTACCAAGTATAAAAGAGAAGAGCAAGCAGCCAAGGGTATTAAAATAGTGTACTCTTGAGGACAGCTAGAGGGCAAAGATTTTCCAAAAGACGTAACTGTTGTTCAACATGATCTAAAAATGCCAGCAATGAGAACCAGAGACCAGAAAGCTTGTCTGTGTAGAGAACCCTCAGCCTGGAAATCTCAACTGTGAAAACTCCAGTACACTATTCCAGGAGGGCTTCCGTCATCATCATTGTAATACCCAATTCTGTGTTACACCCTCGGTCCAGTTCGCATGCCACTGTACCGTACGCGTTGGGCAAGGGCCTGGAGATTGAAAGAACACACAAAGAGACCTGGGTCATTCATAAGGAGATCAGCTGAATGCCGTTTATTCAAACTTGGGGAAATCCTTAAGTACCTAACTGCTGCACAAGGATTTCCACCCAGGCAGGTGGGAAATTACCATACCAACAATGGAGTCAATGCTCTACAACTAATCACCAGGCGGGGCGGGGGGGGGGGGGGGGCACAGGAACAAACAGAATGCTTTAGTTAGCTGACCAGAAATCCTCAAGATGCACCCCAGGAACAAGGGTAGACCCGGGCCCTACACATCACAATGGATATCACAGATGCCTGATCTGATTCTGTTACTTTTGTTTGCTCTCCTGATCAGGATACTCCAATTTGAAGATGTTTTACTATCTGCTATTTGCTATTGCTTTTTTTTTTCCAGGCAGGGTTTCTCTGTGTTGGCCCAGATGTCCTACAACTTGCTCTGTAGTAGACCAGGTTGGCCTCAAACTCGGAGATCCACCTGCCTATGCTTCCCAAGTGCTGAGATTAAAGGCTTGTGCCACCACTGTTTGGTTGTTATTTGTTCTTCTGCTTACTAGATGCTCAATCAACTCAGTCACTCAAAATCAAAAGTATAGCTATTGTAGACCATTCCCTGTAGAGAATGGATGGATGAAGACAGAGTTAAGACATTTGAAGGGAAATCAAGGTTTAAAGCATGTGGCTAGGGAGAAGACTATATAATATAGGAGAATTGTATAAGGATACAGAGCACTCAGCATTTCTAAAGACATTCAACTGTAAACCAATGACAGGGAGGAAAACCAGGGGAAAGTGGTTTGAACAAATGCTGCTAAGATGTAGAGTTTACTTATTGGTTATTTAGATATCATAAATGTTGTTTTTTTTTAAACTAAATCTCAACCTTATTATTTTTACTGTTAAAGACTTGGAAGTCAAGACACTGAGGTGAAAACCTACTAGTTCAGAAAGACACAGGAGCAACCAGCTGACCTTCCTACTTTGCTGGCATCTCAGAAAGAGAGCTTCCCTTTCGCCATCCCAAACCAAAAAGACCACCAGACTTGAAGTCCCTCCATATTATTTCCTGTGTGTCTCACTACTTATTTCTAACTTCCACTGGTTTTTTTTTTTTTTTTTTTTTTTTTTTTTTTTTTTTTTTTTTTTTTTTTTTTTTTTTTTTTTTTTTTTTTGTCAAGTGGTTCCTGGCTCCACCTCTTAACCTAAGGTTGACTTTTATACTGATATTTTATTAATGTTTTAATAAATAAAGTTTGCTTGAATATCAGAGGGGCAAAGCTAAGCCACTAGAGGTTAGGCAGTGGTGGCACACACCTTTAATCCCAGGATTTGGGAGACAGAGGCAGATGGGTCTCTGTGAGTTCAAGGACACCCTGGGCTATACAAGATCCCTGCAGAAACAAACCCAGGTGGTGATGACTCACATCTTTAATTCCAGTACTAGGAAGTCATACAGCTTTAATCCTAGCATTAGAGGGAATATAAAATGGGAGGAGAGGCCCAGGCTGCTTGGTCTTCTTAGTCTGTTTAATCTACAGTCGCTCAGTCTTGATAGAGGTAAGACTTCTCTAGTGGTTTGATTACTTTGCTCCTCTGATTTTTGGGTTGAGCCCCGATATCTGACCCTGGGTTTTTATTATTCTTGCTAGATTTTATTTAACACAATCTTGGGTTTCACAGTGTGATCAAATATCCTACAACATTCCCCCTCACCTTTTTGTCTAAATAAAAGGAAAGGTTTGAACTCTAACATAGTAAAACTATATACAATAAGAACAATTATCAAACAAGAATTACATTCACAATGTCTAGTCCATTTATATTTGACAACTTTGGATAAAGAATTCTATTATTTATCCCATCTTGGTGAGTCCAAAGTTTTATACCTAAATCACTTTCTATCATAACATGTCTTACCATCCAAAAATATCATTTTAGATCTTAAAACATTTGCTTAGACAACTTAAGCTTTTATGTTTTTCAACCTTTATAAACTTTACATCTCTTTTGTGAGTTCCTCTTTTTATTTTGGTAACAAAGAAAAGTACAAAACTATAACTTCAATCTCATCAAAGACCCAAGAAGAACATAGTACCTGATAAAATAGTAAGTGCAGAGCAAACTACTTCCATAACTATAGAAATGATAGATACAACTGACTACCTAGACAGTCACCAAAGGTTCCTCTACAATGTTGGAATATCCCAATTTGTCCTTTAAGCCCAGAATATTTTAGAATTTTTTGTGAAGTAGGAGTTTTGAAGGACTGGCCTACCCTGTCTTGGCAAAGTTCACAAGTCAATTTCCCTTGTATCCTGCTTGTTCAATTTTTACAGCATATTGTCAAAAGTTGAGGCAACAGCAGTTTCTTGCCCAACGGCTAATTGTCCTTATTGTATATAGATGGTAATAGATGTTATAGATGGCTGTGAGCCACCATGTGATTGCTGGGAATTCTGGAAGAGCAGTCAGTGCTCTTAACCACTGAGCCATCTCTTCATCTTTTTAATGTCTTCAAATTTCTTTAAGTTGTTCAGGATGCCATAGTTCTAAGGCAAACAGATAACAAACCTGCCCTAATTTCATTCTGTTGCTGTGATAAAATAGACCAACAAAACGCAACTTAGAATATAAGGATTTATTTCCATTTCAAATGCCAGGTTACAGTCCATCATTGTGGAAAAATCAAGGAAGGGACCTCAAACATTGACTTACATAGCACCCATAGTCAAGAACAGAGAAATGAACACACACCTTCTCCCCTATGTTCAGCTTGATTTCTCCACTGTTACACAGCTTAGGACCTCTTCCCCTAGGGACTGGTGCTACCCAGTGCCTTGGGTCTGGAGTCCCCTTTAGGCATGCCCATCCACAGGCAAACCAAATGTAGACAATCCTTCATTGAGCCTTTCTTCTCAGGTGACTCTACAATGTGTCAATCTGACATTAAACCTAACCACCATACAGCCCATAGGTAAAGGTAAAACCAAGAACTGAAGCTTAATGTGTAGGGAAAATGAGGTGTCAAAGTCACCATAGCATCTGAGCTGCTCAGGGACCACCTCTAAGGCCAGTCCTTCAAAATTCCTGCTTTACAAGAAAAGTCTGTCAGATATTCTAGGCATATAGGTTGAAGATGGATGTCCCAACATTAAGGAGGAACCTTGGGTAGACTATGTAGGCAGTCAGCTGTCTCAGTCATTTCTATAGTTTTAGTGGTTTGCTCTGTACTTCCTGTTTACTCAGATATTATATACTTCTTGAGTGTCTGATGAAATTGAGGACTAGATATTTAATAGTTACAGATTTGTTTGCTACCAAATTCAGAAATGAAACTCACAAAAGTAGTGTAAAGTATATAAGGTTGAGAGACAAAAAAGCTCAAATTGTTTATGTAAGAAAATGTTTGAGGTCTAAAAATAGTTTGGGGTTGGTAAGACAAGTTAGGGTAGGAAGTGAATTAGGCACCAAACTTTGAACTCACCAATATATGATATATAATGGAGTATTTTCTCTGATTTGCCAAGTGCAAATGAACTGGACATTGTGAATGTAATTCTTACCTGATAATTGTTCTTAATGTATATGGTTTTTCTGTCCTAAGAGCTAAAACCTTTCCTTTTTATTTAGACAAAAGGGAGAAATGTTATGTGATATTGTGACCACTTCAGATGTTCCCGAGACTGGCAATAAAGTTTGCTTTGAATCAGAGTGCAGGGTTAGCTACTAGCTGACCAAAATTAACCATAGAGGTTTTGGAGTACTGAGGACCGATAGACACAGGAAATAGACAGGTGGGGCTTAGAGAAGGACTTGGTCCTTTTTGGACTGAGGAATGAGAAAGAGAGAGGCGGGGAGGAAGAGAGAGGTGTTGTCACTGGTTGTTTTTCTGCTGCTCCTCTGATTATTCAGTTTCTTACCCTGATACCTGACTCCTGAGTTTTTATTGATAAAGACCAGATAAACACTCTACCTGTTCCTGACCCCACCACCCCCCAGACTGGTCTCCAACTCTTGTCTGCTGAACCCTTCCATCTTAGCCACCACTGCAACTACAGAGGTAGCTCCTCAAATTTCAGTTACAGACAGAATTACTCACTGATAGCACACTGACTACATATGATAGAACTAAGGTAAATAAGTTTGGGGTCAATTTAATATTTCACTTATGCATTTAGAGTCAAAACTTTTATCATGTAAAACCTTTTTATTTCTAAAAAAGTTTAAACAATTACATTGTATAGTACCTGACAATCCATTACAACAGACAGAAAGATAAACTCATCCCTTTCTTGAAACAAGTTTATATTGTTTTGTTTGACAGGGTCTCTTATTAGCCAAAGGGGTCTCACATTCACCCTTACTTAACACTGGCACTGAACTGATGGGTCTGCTACCTTCCAAGTTCCAGGAACCATGCCTGGTCAAATCAGTTCCTTTTCTAAGCTTTACAGCACAGAAACTAGAAAAAAATGCAAGCAATTGGCAGTGGTAAAAATTGCAATATTTAAAGATGTTTGGCCAAAAGACTTTTTAAAGAAATTAAATTACAACTTGGAATACCCTGTACCTACTTAGTTTATAGTTCAGTAAATAGATTTTTTTTTTTCAAATTTCCTGTGCTAGGAAGCAAAACCAGAGCCTTGGACATATTAGGTATGTGTTCTACCATTGATCTATAGCAGAGAGTAACGTAAAACCAGAACCTTGGACACATTAGGTATGTGTTCTACCACTGATCTACTGCAGATAGTAATTTTTAAAAAAAAAAAAAAAACAATTTTATCTGATCAAACTGAGAACTTTATATTTTATTCAGTTTTGAATAAAACCACAGCCACTGTCTTTTCCAGTGTGTCAAAAGGTATCAACTTCAGAAGAAAGTACCAGCCCCATTTGTGTCAGATGAGGATAATTTCTCTTCTGTTGAAAGGGTGTTAACTTCTTGAAATTCAGTTTTCATTTGTCTCATAATTTCCAAATAAATAGATAAGCAGCTCCAGTTCATGGCTTGTAGACTGTTTGCCTAGACCTGAATGTCCTCCAAGCCTTCATCGTAGATCCATTTAAAGATAGTGTCCTCGGACCTCTCTATAGCTTCAAACAGTCTTTTGAAGTCTTGAGGATACATTTGAAGAATTGTCGCTCTAGGGTTTAGTCTCACCTGCCTCAGTACATCAATTGGCTCAACTGTGCTCAATGAACTAAAACAAACAAACAAACAAGTAAACATGATTAATCCCTTTTCACAACAATTAAGTCTAAGAGAGTTGCCTCCTAAATTCAATTAAGATGACTAGCCTATATAATTAAATTTACTTCAGAATATATACATATATATATATATACACACACACACACAACACACATGTAATATATGTAAATCCTCTGTGCTGGGGTGACTCTGAACTCCTAATAGGTCAACCAGTTTATAATAAATGTAGACCTCTGTGTGGTCCTTTGGGACTGAACGGCTATGGGACAGGGCAGGACAGAAACCTCTGTTAACAAATGGCGTCAATGTGAACAACTAAATCCACTTAAAACCTGAGAGAATTTGAGAAGGAATTCTAGACACAAAAAGAACAGAGTTAAGCACGGCTCCTTGGTAGCATTTTCTCAGGTGGGTTGTTTGCTAGAGGCACGCATGTCTCATTTAAGAGAAGCTTCCTGACTCAGCTTTAGCTGCAAAAACCTTGCAGCCCTTTTAAGAAGCTCTGCTACAAAACACTTAAATGGTGTTGATGCATAACAAACAGCATGCTTCAGGAAGCGCCATAGAGTTATGGCAATAAACATGGCTCCGGCCAGTACCTCTGCCGTGAGGCTAGACTCTCAGAAAGCTAAGGAATGGGGTGGATCTAGCCATCAAAGCCATATCACTTAGCAAATTAAAGACTCATGTGGTCAGAAAAAGAGAGATATACAGTAAAGATAGATTCAGACAAAAGAAACCTCTAAATGGTTTACAGTATGTTTAAAAATATATGTAGGCTTGGAAAAGAAAAAAGGATAAGGTCCTTAAAATAAAAAAGAGAGTAGTTGGGTGTGGTAGCACACACCTTTAATCCCAACATTTAAGGGGCAGAGGCAGGCTGGTCTCTATGAGTTCAAGGACAACCTGGTCTGCAGAGTGAGTGCCAGGATAGCCAAAGATACACAGAGAAACCTAGTCTGAAAAAAAAAAAAAGTTTAAAATAAGCCACATAAAGATGGAAACTACACAGAGAGTCTGGATAATGTATGTTAATTGTGTTGTCTTTGAATGGTTTGATGGCTGAGGAAGGAACAACAGCTGCTAAAAGACATTTGATTAAATGCTGTTGGATTAATAGAACATATATATTTTGGAAATGCTTTGACTTCAAACTTTAAGTCAAAGATATGTTACTTTGGAGAAGAGGTTTTTTTGTTTCTACAGGAAATGAGAGGCTGTGAATTCATTCTTGGCTAAGAAAAATCAGGTCCCCTGAGAAATCTCCAATAGGAGTGGATGGTCCAGATGTCTGAGTTCTACATCCAGAACAGACTCAAAATGCTGAGATGATCAAGCCTCACAGGATACTCCAGTCAGGACTTGATCATAATCCCAAATTTTCATTTAGATCCCCATAAGATTATCAGCACCCCCAATAAGCAGGAAGTAGTCTAAAAAAAACACACTCCAAAAAATGGACTATGGATATTTTTCTTTGTTTAGAGTGTTGGTTACAAGTTGTTATGGATAATGGCCAGGAAGAAAGCTAAATATGGGAGATTAGATTCAGAATTGTTTTGAAAAAAGGGGGGGTGCTATAGAACAATGATCTTGTACTTTATAAAGATTTGTCACTTGTATTTTAATAAAATGCTGATTGTCCAGTAGCCAGGTAGGAAATATAGGTGGGGCAACCAGGCACGAAATATAGGCAGAGCAACGAGAACAGGAGAATTCTGGGAAGAGGAAAGCTCAGCCTGCAGCAGTCATCCAGATGCATAGGAAGCAAGATGAGAAAGCTTCACTGATAAAAGATACCAAGCCAGGTAGTTGACACGGACAAGAATTATGGGCTATTATGTTGTAAGAGTTAATAAGAAGCCTGAGCTAATTAATGTAGATTTCTGTGTGTTTCTTTGGGACTTAACAACTGGGGGATCTGGGTGGGACCGAAACCTCTCAAGTATTGGGATTATAGGTATGTACTACCATACTTGGCTTGGATGAGAAATATCTTATATAAAATGTTAAGCCAAAATCTTAGCACTCAGGAGACTGGATAGTTGTTCCTAAAATTTCAGAGCTAGACACCAATTTAAGTTTAATGTAGTGTAATCAAACCTCACAAAAATTCTAGTTTACATTTTATCTTTTTATTTTTTTTGATAGGATCTCACCACATAGCCCTGGCTGGTATGGAAACTCACTGTGTAGATCAGACTAACCTCAAATTCACAGAGATCCACCTGCCTCTACTTCCCAAGTGCTGGGATTAAAAGTGTGCAACAACCTATGTGGGAGGCTTTTTAAAGATGCTTTCACTCTCTATCTCAGTCTGATCTGCAATTTACAATACAGGCCTTGAACTCACGTGACTGATTCTCCTGCCCCTGTGAGTTGAGATGACGGGCTTACTGTTTATGTGTAAATAGTGTGGTGTATACATCTATATACCTATAATCCCAGTGCTTGGGAAGTAAAGGCTGGAGGGTCAGAAGTTCAGTCATCTCTGACTGTACAGAAAGTTAGGCTAGCCTGGGCTATATAAAACTGAATCTCTAAATAACTAAACAAATAAATTAACTAAAAATAAACATTTCTAGTTAACAGTCTCATTAAGGCTATATGGTAAATGACTATTAATTAAAATAACTATTTTAACACTTTTTCCATCTTCTGACAACACTTTAGGAACTGCTAGTTACAAGGTGAATGGATAACACATCACACTGACTGGAGAGATGGCTCTGTGGTTAAGAGTGTGTGATGCTCTTCTTGGGAACCTGAGCTCAGTTCTTAGCACCTATGTCAGGCAGCTCTTGTGACTCCAGCTCCAGGGATACAAATGCTGTTCTGGTCTCCAAAGGACACAGGAATAGCACAAGTGTGCATAGACATAAAAACAAAATAAACATACACTGAACAATGATGTGGGATACCTCTCTGTATGTTGTAAATATGTCTTATTACCATTGGTTAATAAAGAAGCTGCTTCAGCCTATGGCAGGGCAGAATATAGCTAGGCGGAAAGTCCAAGCAGAGAGACAGGGTGAAAGAATGCAGAGTCTGGGAGATGCCAACAATCACCAGAGGAATAATATGCCAGACCATGACTAGTAAACTATGGGGCATGTGGCAATATACAGATGATAAGAAATGGGCTAATTTATATGTAGAGCTAGTCAGTAAGAAGCCTGAATCATCTGCCAAACAAGTAGTCAGAGGGAGGTGTAGAAAACATAATGCAAGGGGCTGGAGAGATGGCTCAGTGGTTAAGAGCATTGCCTGCTCTTCCAAAGGTTCTGAGTTCAATTCCCAGCAACCACATGGTGGCTCACAGCCATCTGTAGTGAGGTCTGGTGCCCTCTTCTGGCCTGCAGACATACACACAGACAGAATATTGTATACATAATAAATAAATAAATATTTAAAAAAGAAAAGAAAACATAATGCACAACAGGGAAACAGGTATCTTTACTTACTGCCTTTTAAATCTTATCTTATGGGTAGGTGTGTGCGTGTCGTGTGTGTGGCACCCACAGAGGCAAAGCAGGGGGTGTTGGAGCCCCTGGAACTGGAATTACAGTCATTTGTGAACTGCTTCTCAATCATCTCTCCAGTCTAGAAGGAAGTATTTTTAACAGGCAAATAAACATGGGCACATCTTACTCTAAATCAAGATGTGAAAAACCACCTTATAACACAGGAGAAAATCACATTAAATCACTACCTTTACAGTTTGTCTTCATTGAAATTCTACTTACCTTAAATGATGTATTACTGGGGCACTGCGCTTCCCAAAGCAGTGCTTTACCATGTGGAAAAATATATCATAATTCAACGGACTTAAGTATTCTGTAAATAAACCTTTACGAGGAGTCATTTGAATAAAATACAGATTTTGTTTCATTGATTTTAATGATTCCTAGACAGAAAAGAAATAACTTCGTTAGTCATAAACTATTGCAGGGTAAACACTGACCTTTACTCCTCCAAGCCACTTGCACATCCCCAGTGTCTCTGGGTTTTCTTACTGAAGACCTAACACTCTATAACCCGGGTCATGTCAGAGTTCTGAGCAGAAAGTAACCTAGAAGGACGAGCTTTTTATTCTGTATATGACTTGTTTACATTTGCCACCAGAGGTGATGTGAGGGTCCTACTCCAATGCTCAGCTGTGGGGCAAACCCAATGCGTGTCTAGCAAACCACTCACCACCTCCTGGGCTGCAAGCTCAGACTGAGTCCTTTATCTAAAACAGATAACTAAAGTGTATTGCTGTGGAATAATCCTCTCATACACTGTAAAGATTTGTCACTCAAATTGGTTTAATACAATGCTGAGTGGCCAGTAGCCAGGCAGGAAGTATAGGCAGGGTGACCAAAGTAAGGATAAAGGGAAAGAGAAGGGCAGAGAGACACTGGCCAGAAGCCGAGAAAGATGGGCATGCTGTGATGAGAAAAGGTACTGTCACATGACACGAGCATAAAGAGTAATAAAACTTAAAGTGTAAGAGCTAGTTAATAATAAGCCTAAGCTATTGGTTGAGCATTTATAAGTATATTAAGTCTCTGTGTGATAATTTGGAAGCAGTGGCTGGATATTTGGGACCAAGTGGTTCCAAGACTGGAAATTCAGTACAATGTACTGAGTTGTAGTTATAGTAAAATCAGAGCCCAGACACAACATCAACATGAATCAAGTTGCTGCTATGTTCAAGGAAAACCACTAGCAGATACAAGAATACAAATGATTATTGACTAGCCTTTTCCTTATCTTTTTCTAAACATACACTTATTTACTGTGTGTGCAAACATAAGCATGCATAACTTTATTACTGAAAAACTTAATACAGAAAAGATAATCCTTTTTTGTGGGGTAGATGTTTCTCTAGCCTCTGAAGACAATCTTAAAGAAAATAAATGTGATACATGGGAATAGCATCATTTGTACTTACCCTAAGCTTTGTCTTCTCTAAGTGCCCATTTTCAGTATATACACTAAACGACGACCAAGGTTCCTGGAGGAAGAAAAACAGAGAAGATATTTCTTTCTTTCCGTAGATCTATGTGGTACGTGTGCACATGGGCATGTGTGTGGAGGGTGGAAGCCGTTTTCAGGTCTTTTCCTCTATCGTTCTCTCCACATTAGTTTTGAGTAAGGGTCTCTCAGAGAACCTGGATCTTTGGATTCTGTAGGTCTAGCTGGCTAGCAAGCCCCAAGGATCCTCCTGTCTCTGGCTCCCCAAGCCCTTGGGCTCTATTTTACATGGGTACTGGGAATTGAACTCAGGTTCTCATGCTTGTACTGTAAACACTTTACCAACTGAGCCATCTCCTCTACCCCAGGACATTCTTTCACTTACATAGATCTCAAATGAGGCCAAAGGCTCCTCAATTCTGTTAGTTCTCTTTAGTCAAACACCACAAGTTATTACTACCCCCCCCAAAAAAACAAACCCAAACAAACAAAAAAACTGAAAAAAAAAAAAAACCCCACATACCTATGCAAATCTGGGTATGGTGGTGTACAATTTAATCCTAGTATTTAGGAGGTAGATGTAGCTTGGGCTATGAGATCCAGTCAACCCCACCCTGTTAACAAAACCAGATAAAAAACCAACCATATCTAGGGGCTAGGGCTGTAACTCTGTATTTGAGCACTTGTCTCTTTGTTCAAATCCAAAACCCCCACACAAATAAAAGAATAAATCAGTTCAAATCCTATCTGGTATTGCTAAATAAGTATTAACAATGACTATTTGAACTACAATATCCAAACAGCATATTTTGTGTAACAGGTAAGATATTGGGTAAAGCTACATATGATGGTATACATCTATAATCCTAGCACTTAAGATACTGAGACAGGAGGATGGAAAGTCTGAGGTGAGCCTGGGTTATATAATGAAACCCTGTCTCATAAAACAAGGCAATGTGATATTCACTATATTAAAGAAAAAAAGAAAAGCATAAAAAAACAGAAGACCAAAATACGTCCTGTATGTCCTATAGAACTACAGTATTAATTCCCAAAATTTCCTTTTCGTAGAGCATGTCTCAAACCAAGTTTCATTCTCTTGTGTTTGTTTGTTTGTTTTCTTGGGGCAAGGTTGTGTAGCCCTGGCTATCCTGGGATTAGCTCTGTAGATCAGGCCGACCTCTGCCTCCCCAATGCTGAAATTAAAGGTGTGCATTATCACCACCCAGTAAGTTTCCTACTTTTATCATGAGCTAGTCATATTACTTGTTTTTTTTTTTTCTTTTTTTTTCCTGAGATAGGGTTTCTATGAGTCATCCTAGTTGTACTGGAACTAGCTCTGTAGACCAGGCGGGCCGCGAACTCACAGAGATCCACCTGCCCCTGCCTCACGAGTGCTGGGATTAAAGGTGTGCACAGCACTACCACCTTATTGTCGTATTACGTTTATGATTAGAGAAAAAAGGTGCCAAAGAAGTATCAACATTACTCTCCTTTCAATAACTGGTGATAGTGTATGATTTTAATCCCAGAATTCAGGATGCAGAGGCAGGAGGATCTCTGTGAACTCACACCAGGTAGATTTAGTTTTGTTTTATCTCAAAATAAAACTAAACTAAATACTTTGAAAAATAATAAAATTAAGTCTTTTAATAAATTAGCCTCTGAGTTATAAAGTTGTCCCAGCATCGGAGACTTTACTCACCATGTGAATAAACTTAATATCACAAGCCACTTGCCAAAGCACACTCAATACCTGGTATAAATCTGGCCTTTTAGGAGTTGCTATCAGTTTCTAGTGAAGAAAAAAAAAGACAAAATTATGTTACATAGACTCATAATCAATATCAAATGTCAGATCATAACTTTAACATCTTAATAGCATCTAGAAATTTAAATTAAAAAATGAGAATTGATCAGGTGTGGTTGCATACACCTCTGAACTTAGTTCTCAGGAGACAGAGGTAGGAGGATCTCTGTGAGGTTCCAGGACAGACAGGACTACATACAGAGTCCCTGTCTCAACAAACCAGACAGATGAGAACTAAGCACAAAACATTAAACTTAAGGATTTTCAATCAGAGTTTTCTTTTTTGAAAACATATGGTATCAACATACAAAATTGACTGTATATGGGCTGGGCTAGTTAAGAGCACTTGCTGCTCTTTCTGAGGACTGGAATTTGGTTCCTGGCACAGACAAAATGCCACTCAGAACTCAAACTGTGAGCTATTAAATTGTGCATCAAGAATTGTTGAGCCTGTAACTCTAGCTCCAACACCTTCTAGCCTCTGCCAAGTACACGCACACATGGCATAAATACATGCATCTAAATAAAAATGTAAACAAAACCACAGGCCAAAAAGATGGCTCAGCAGTTAAGAGTACTTGATGATCTTCCAGTGGACTCAGGTTCAATTCTCAGCACCCACATGACATGTTATAACTGTCTGTAATTCCACACCCTCATCTGACCCCTCAAGCACTACATGCATATGGTACACAGACATTATTTCCGGCAACAATCATACACATGAAATAAAAATAAAATCTCAAAATAATTATTACATATGAAATTGCTTTTAATAATGTGACTTTCAGAGGGAAATCTTATTTAACAAAAGCAAAAAGTAAAAAATGTATAATGACCAGACATGGTAGCAAACACCTTGTAACCGCAGCACTAACGAAACTAAGGTAGGGTTCCTTTGAGTTCAGGGCTGGCCTGGGCTACAGAGTGAGTTCAATATCCAGCCCATATTACAGAGCAAGATTGTTTCAAAAACACAAACATAAGTAGGAGAAACTCATCATTTACCCACCAACACAGTTCCTACACTATGGATCTAACAACAATACAACATAACAGCATGTACTATGGAGAAAGATAGGTATGTTAGAATTAAGAATTGTTATGGCTGGGGATGGTAAGATGGCTTACTGGGTAAAGATGCTGGTCACCAAGCCTGAAGGCCTGCGGACCTGAATCCAATCCCTGGGACCGACATGGTGGAAGGAGGAAATGACACTTCCAAGTTTTCTCCTGACTCCCACATGGATAACAATGAAGTAAACGCATGTGAGTGAATATGAGTGTACACACGCACACACACACAAAATGACTTTTTAATAAAAAATAATTATTAATCGTATTTTTGAGATGGGGTTTCTCTGTGTGGCCCTGGCTGTCCTGGAACTCACTCTGTAGACCAGGCTGACCTCTGCCTCCTGAGTGCTGGGATTTATGGGGCATGCCACCACCATCCCAGCAAAGCTGACTCTTGCTGGACATTAAGGATAATACCATCAGTGTTATTATTCTTATTATTAATGGAAGGTATCACTGAGAAAGGATCTCGCAGAAAAGTCCATGTTAAAGAAACTGAAAGCAAGACAAAATTTTGGGTCTCACGCAGCTCAGGCTGGTCTGCAAGGATTGGGGATGACCTTGATCCTGAACCTTCTTCCTCTACCCCCAAGTGCCTCCCAAATAGTTGGACCACACACACTGTGGTCAACTTACAACCTGAAGAACATTCTTACATACCTTGCTCTCATTTTTGGTTTATATACTATATATGAATTATGTATTATGTATGCACATATGCACATACGTATGTATGAAGGGTCAGGATTGTCTGCTCTCATTCTACATGGTTAGCCAATATATACTATCTGGGTGAGGAGACACTCCCTCATTTCTTACACCGCATTCCTACCTAGGGATCCATTATGGACAAATGGACACTGTCAATTATACTGGAGCAAAGCTCACGCACAGGAAGCACTGTGATCCCTTAGCAGATCCTAACAGCACTACTCAGGACTGCAGGACAGCTCCTCACTCAAAAGGAAAAGGCAGAGAGGCTGCTGTCTGTGCACTAGACTCCCGAGAGCAGACTAAAAGTTAAACTGGAGCCACAGTCTTGAGCTCCATGCCACCAAGGTGAACCCATGCTGCTTATTTGCTTTTCCCGGAAATCAGGAGCAGCCGAAGTTCCCAAACACGCCAGGGACAACTTGCCAACATAACAACTGTCCTTCTGTATTAATCGTTATAAAGGTCATCTGAAAGAACACAGTGGTAACCAACTTGCTATCTTTCTATTGTTCTGCATTCCATTTCTGTTTTAGAAATATTAATTGTGAAATGATTATCTTGTTTTGGTTTAGCTTTCTTCAGTTCTCCTCTGTCTATAAAATCAACTTCCTCTGCTGTTTTCATTGGGTCGTGAATTTCATTTTTAATGGAAAGAAGTGTTGATGTACCCTCCTATCAAAGATAACGTCAGTCAAGGTGATGAAGAGGACAAAAGATGTTCACAGACTCTGCTTGTAAATAAAAAAGATGTTCAACCTAACTAGCCATTAGGAAAACACTAACATAATGAAACTCGACTTCATCCAATTATGAGAGGGTATCAAAAATACAAAGAAAGGCTGGGCGGTAGTGGCGCACGCCTTTAATCCCAGCACTCGGGAGGCAGAGGCAGGCAGATCTCTATGAGTTCGAGACCAGCCTGATCTACAAGAGCTAGTTCCAGGACAGGCTCCAAAACCACAGAGAAACCCTGTCTCGAAAAACAAAAANAAAAAAAAAAAAACAAAGAAAGGCCAGCGGGACGACGCGGCTGGGTAAGCTTGCTGACTTGTGTTCGATCCCTGGACACCTTTGGCTCCCACACATATGGTGTGGTATATACGCACTCATGCTTATACACTAATAAGAAACACAAAATTAGCTGGCTGTGGTGACACACCCCTTTAATCTCCGCACTTGTGAGGCAGAAGCAGGTAGATCTCTGTGAGTGCAAGCACAGCAAGTTCAGGACAGCCAGGGCTATTACACAGAAAACCCTTTCTGGAAAAAAAAAAAAACCCTACAAATCAAAACAAACAAAAAGAACCTCACAAAATTAAATAAAAAATACAAGTATGATAATGGAAAAATTCTAAATACTTGTATCCTACTGTTGGAAAAGTAAAATGTATCTACAAAGAAGGTAGCATGGCACGTCCTTAAAAAGTTAAATGTAGAATTACCACATGACCTAGCAATCCTAGTTCTACTTATATGAACTAAACCACTGAAAGCAAGGGCTGGGGAGACAGCTTGGGTGGTACAGTGCTTGCCACAAAAGCATGAGAACCTGAGGATGACCCTCAGCACCCACAGAAAAGCCAGGCACAGCAGCAGTTCACGCCTGAATCTTTATCAGGAAGTGGAGACAGAAGGATCTCGGGGCTTACTGGCCGACTAGTCCAGACAAATGGAAAACAGTCCTACTGAGGGCCCCTTCTCAAACAAGTACATCAATGAATAAATAAAATAGAGTAAAGAAAGAAAAAAGTTTATATCCACCTGCACACCACCCTGTCACAACCTGAAAGCAAGGACTTGTGTATGTGGCACCCCCCCCCCCCCCCCCCCCCCCCCCCCCCCCCCCCCCCCCCCCCACAAACAAACGAAATAGTGTGGTTGCGGGCCCCCCCCCCCCCCCCCCCCCCCCCGAGACAGGGTTTCTCTGTGTAACAGCCCTGGCTGTTCTGGAACTCACTTTGTAAACCAGGCTGGCCTCGACATCACAGATATCCGCCTGCCTCTTCCTCCTGAGTGCTGGTTTTAAAGGTGTACACCTCTACTGCCCGGCTTCTGTGGAAGCTTTAATCATAATATTTGAGAGGTGGAAGCAGCTAAGTGTTCTTTTACGAATGAATAGATACAAGTTACTGAGTTCATATAGCTGAATAATATTCAGCTTAAAAAGAAAAAAAAGAAACTTCAACACACTATAACACAGATGAACTTGAAGATATTATGTTAAGTGAGATAAAGCGGCCACAAAAGGACAAATACAGGCTGACTCAAGCCAAGCTCACAGACGGTGCCAGGAAAACGGTTACTAGAGCCTGAGGAAATGAAAGCATGGGGAGCTAAGTGTTCATTGGAAAATCTAAAAATTTTTGGATAGGCTGGAGAGATGGCTCAGTGGTTAGGAGCACTGGTTGCTCTTCTAGAGGTCCTGAGTTCAATTCCCAGAAACTACATGGTGGCTAAGAACCATCTGTAATGGGATCTGATGTCTAGAAAGACAGAACACTCATACACAGAAATAAAAAATTTTAGAGCTAGACAGCAAGTACTGGATGTGTAATATAAATATATTTAATGCCACTGAACTAACTGTACATTGTAAAATAATTGAAACTCTCAAATGTCAGGGACCCCAAATAAAAATTCAGCTGAAGTTCCTCAGAAGATTACAGCATTCTCTACAGTACACTCTCACAGCAACACAAGTCACCTGTTCACAACCCACCTGGAATTCTTTTTCCGTAACAAACAGATTCAGCTCTATTCGTCCGTATCTGAATATAGAGTCACAGGAATACATATCAAACAGAGTTTTCCAAAGTATTCGTCTTTCGTATTTATTAGGTAGGATTCCAAATACTTTTATAGGAACACCTGTTAGGGATACAAGCACAGATGTGCATAAGTTTCTTAAAACTTTTTCCTATGGCCACATTTTACTGATGCAAAGCAAGTTAACAATGGTAACTATTTCAATTAAGGATCCAAGATGGTAGATGCCATGTAGGTATGATGCGCTAGAATCACTAGGGAAATAACACAACAGCTGGGTGACACTGTAAGAAGAGGTGGGCAACTCCCCCCCAAATGTCTAGTTTAGAAATGACTAATGAGAAATTGTGCGGGGCTAGGGAGAGGGCTCAGAGACAGGTTTACTGCGCAGGTGTGAGAGCCTAATTCCAGTCTACCTAAACAGGTTCCAGGTTCAGTGAGAAACCTGGGGCGATGGAGGAGGACACTCAACATCAAACTCTGGCTTCCACATGCATACACATGTACATGTGCACAAACAAGAATATGTACACATACATAAAGAGAAAAAAATGAAGAACACAAAAGTTGCTGCATTAGCTAGTTATAAGTCAACCCGACACAAGCTGGAATCATCAGAGAGGAGGGAGTCTCAATTGAGAAAACGCCTTCATAAGACCAGGTTGTAGACAGGCCTATAGAGAATATTTTTAAAATAGTGATTGATGGGGGAAGGGCCCAGTCATTGTGGGTGGTACCATTCCTGGGTTCGTGGTCCTCTATAAAAAAGCAGGAACAAGTCATGAGGAGCAAGCCAGTAAGCAGCACCCCTCCATGGCCTCTGCACCAGCTCCTTCCTCCAGGCTCCTGTCCCAATTTCCTTCCACAAAGAACAGTGATGTGTAAATGTAAGCAAAACAAACCCTTTCCTCCCCAAGTTGCTTTGGTCATAGAGTTTCAGCACAACAATAAAAATCCTAACTAAGACAGCTGCCTATGGCAATGACAGGAGGAGGAGATACTAGGAAAAGATACTCTTTCCTCTTGGCACTCATGGAGTAGCAAAACCCCACCATTTTAAAGATTCTAGGAGCTGGAGAGATGGCTCAGCAGTTAAGAGCATTTAGTGCTTTTCTACAGGACTCGAAGTTGGTTCCCGGCACTCACCTTGGGTGTCTCACGGTGATCTATAATTCCAGCTCCAGTAGATCTGATGCCTTTTTCTGGCTTTTGAGGGCACCCATATGTACATGCACATACTTACATACAAGCACATTAAATGAACAAACAAAACCCTCCCGCTGAGCTACCAGCTTAGTCCTGTCTCTAATTTGCCCCAATTTTTTCCCAGAAAGAGCCATGGAACTACAGTGGGGGAAGAAATCTGAATTAGAGCCATGCAGTATTCAGTGAGATGGTTACCTGGTTGAGAGTCTTTATGAGAACACAGACGCTTGTGTCGGGCGGCACACCCTAGACACCTGGAAATGCAGCCCAGGAGAGGGATAAGCATTTGAAACTGGACTCCTGAAGGCGCCTACCTTAGGTGTGACGTTTTGTATGAGCAGACCTGTGAAGGATGCCCAGCGGAATGAGCTCTGTGACCTGATGTGGAAGGATACCCTGGACAGCGACAGGCGTCCAAGTGCACGGCAATAATCAGGTGAGACTGCAGGCAGTTTCTCTATCCCCAACCAGATCTTTCCTCTTCACGCTCATCTGTTTAATACTCAACCATGATTTAGCAGGCTAATTTTGTCCTTCTACCCCGTTCTCCACTCTTCTTTATTTCCACAGGTTTGTACAAAGCACATGGGATATAAACTGGCTTGTGGGGTCCCTGTGTCTCAGCCTCCGAACAGCTGGGACTTGTTTAATCTTTTAGGTTTGACAATTTGTCTATTTTTAATATTTATTTCCATTATTTCAAAGTTATGCACAGATGTGTGTTTCTGCACACATGTTGGGTGCAGGTGCACAAGGATTCTCCTAGAGCTGTTAGTACAGACAGCTGTGAACTGCCCACATGAATACTAGGAACCAAACTCTAGGCCTCAGGAGGAGCAGCAAGTGCTGTTAACCACCCATCTCTCTAGCCACTCTCCGCCACTGGATTTCTTTACCTCTACTTAGTCTAACCTTAGCTAAAATTACTTCACTGAAATCCTGCAGCTCCTATTTTTACCCTTTTATTTCCCCCTCTTCTTTTCTCAATGACTCAATCCTAATCACCAATCTTTACCTTTTCCTTTTCATACATACTCACTGAGATTAATATCTTAATACAGACAGCACCAGTGTTCCTGTACTTACTAAAATGATTGGCATTTAAAAGGAATTGTGTATTTGACTCTATTATATGTTCACCACTGTCAGTGGGCCTACCCTTTGACGGTGTTTATCTCTGCAGACACTGTTCTACTTTTAGAGGTACACTAGGGGCTGCAAGTATACCCAAAGAAATCAAAAGAGGATACCAATAAATTCCTGCACAAATTCCAAGAGAACACAATGGCTTAATGAAATAAGATTAAGTAAGGATATAAATTGAAATTCAGTAAGTAGATAGAAATACTTTAAAAAATACTTGAAATATTAAACTCATGGGCTGGAGAGATGGCTCAGTGGTTAAGAGCATTGCCTGCTTTTCCAAAGGTCCTGAGTTCAATTCCCAGCAACCACATGGTGGCTCACAACCATCAGAAATGAGATCTGGTGCCCTCTTCTGACCTGCAGGGATACACGCAGACAGAATATTGTATACATAATAAATAAATATTTAAAAAAAAAAAAGAAATATTACACTCCGTAAGTCAAATAAAAATCTCCTGGAAAGCCTAACTGGTAGAACAGACCATGTGAAGATGCACTGTCTGGGCTCAAGATAAAGGAGAGAAATTGGAATATTCAGAAAAATGATACAAATAAATTAACTGGAAGGTATCAACAGAACATGTGAGATCTGCAGAAACTATAAAAAGGACCAAATCTACAAATCACGTGCATAAAAGAATGATTCATGCTAAAGGCATAGAAAATATTTTAATTAAAATCATAGCAGAACCTAGGGAAAGACATGCCCATTCAATTAATAATGCATTTAGAGCACCAAACAGACAAGACCAGAGAAGAACTTTTCTACTTCATGTCAGTCAAAATGCTCAGCTCGTGGTGGTCATGCTTTTAATCTGGGAAGCAAAGGCAGGCTGATCTTGGAGTTCAAGGCCAGCCTGGTCTACGGTAGTGGGTTGTAACAGCCAGGGATACACAGAGAATCTCTGTCTCAAGAAACCAAAACCAAACCAAACAAACAAAAAACCCACTCACTATAGAGAACAAAGAAAGCTTTTGAAAGCTGCAAGAGAGAAATGGCAGGCTGCACGTAAATGAAGCCAGCAGAGTAACAGCAGATGTCTCAACAGAAACTAAGACAGGAGGGCTTGGGATGACATTTCAGTCTCTAAAAGATGACAACTGTGAACCCAGAATATTGCACCCAACAAAGCTTTGTCAACACCAAAAGAGAAAGAAAAGCATTACATGATAAGAGCAGACTAAAGGAATCATAGCCACTAAGCCAGGCAGTCCTACAGAAGATGCCTGAAGGAATTCTTCAGACTGAAAGAGAAAGATAAAACATCTAGGAGGCGAAAGGAAAGAATAAATACACTAGAAACAGCAGTTAAGCAAAGGAGAGAAAGAAAACACCACAAGATCAATAAAATAGCAGGGATAGATACTTTTCAATAATAAAACTAAGTGTTAGTAGCCTAAATTCCCCAATCAAAAGGTATAGATCAGTAAACTGCATTTAAAAATAGGACCTAAGTCAGGTGTGGTGGGCATACCTTTAATCCCAGCATCAAGACAGAGGCAAATGGATCTTTATGAGTTTGAGGCTTAGTTCAGACCAGTCAAGGCTACATAGTGAGAACCTTTCTAAACAAGAAAGCAAGCAAGCAAACAAACAAACCAAAATGCCTCCTCAAGAAACAAAAAAGCAACAACAAAAACAGGATCTCATTATTTGTTGCTTCTAAGAACCAGACCTCAGATCAAAGACAGAGATATGCAAACCTAGGGAGAAAGAATGGAGAAGGTGCTCCAAGCAAATGCTCCTGTTTTGACAGAACAGACTTCAAACACAAACAAGTTGGAAGAGATTAAAGGTCACTTTGTACTGATTAATGGAACAATCCATTAAGAAGGCATCATAATTTATTATTAATGCATTTAAACTAACTACAATGCACAAGGCCATTTTTTTCAGTCATAAAAACAAAAGTTATGAGCTGGGCAATAGTGGCACACGCCTTTAATCCCAGCACTCGGGAGGAGGAGGCAGGCTGATCTCTGTGAGTTAGGCCAGCCTGGTCTACAAGACCTAGTACCAGGGCAGCTAGGAATGTTACACAGAGAAACCCTGTCTCAAAAAAACAAAAAATAAAACAAAAACAACATAAAAAAAAGCAAAGTCATGTCATTTGCAAAGAAATGGAAGAAACTGGAGATTATCATATTAAGCAAATTAAGCCAGCCCCAGAAGACAAATATCTTGTTTTCCTCATATGTAGTTATTAGATTTTACATAGGAACATAAAAATCATGTATACATACTATGATCTGAAAATAGAAGCAAAGCTATAAGAGAATGAAGTATAGTAGCAAAACAGGTGAAAGGGGGAATATGGGGAGGGGCTGCAGAGATGGCTCAGAGGTTCAAGCTGCTCTTGTAGGACATTAATCAATTCCTTGCACCCACATGGTGGCTGACAACTGTTTATAACTGTCTAAAATTCCAGTTCCGAGGATTCAAGCCCTTTTCTGGCTTCCATGGGCACTACATGAATATGGTGTATAAACAAACATACAGGCAGAACATGTATACACACAAAATAAATCTTTAAAAGAATTTTAAATAAAAAGGTATGTGGTGGTTTGGGAATAGCACTATTAGGAAGTATGGCCTTTTTGGAGTATGTGTGGTCTTGGAAGTGTGTCAGTGCAGAGGTGAGCTTTGAGGTCTCATATGTGCTTAAGCCACACCCAGTGAGACAGTTCACTTTCTGTTGCCTTTGGATCTACATGTAGAATTTTCCAGCAGCACGTCTGCCTGAACAATGCTATAACTCCCGGCCACCATGACCCCATCATGATATGATGATAATGGACTAAATCTCTGAAACTGTAAGCTGCCACCTCAATAAATGTTTTCCTTTATAAGAGTTCCCACGGTTGTCATGGTGTCTCTCCACAGCAATACAAACCCTAAGACAAGGTGATATGAAAGGAAATTTATATGAACGACACTTATTTAAACATATATTTACAAGAAAATTATTATGTAATACAGTCTCATGTACAATGAATATATACAAATAGAACACAGTAACTAAGCCTCCCCCTTAGTACATAACTTATCCTGTACAGAAATTAAATGGTTATTCACAAGCAGAGAAAAGGAATGGCAAGCTTAGTGTAACACCACTTGCTTATTAACTGAACAATCTAAATCTCTTTATATATTGCATGTACATCCAGTAAACAAATGAGCCACACTGGTAAAGAAATAGCTGTTTATAAAGAATTAGCTTTAGTGAATGACAAAAATTACCTGCTGTCCAAGGAACCGCTTTTATTCCCAAATCTTGAAAAATGACCTGTGAGTTGTATTCTGGTTTTATTATTTCCTGATGTCTAGGATCCACCTTAAAGAAGTCACAGTTAATCGCTCGCAGCTCTCCTTCCGCATACTTCCTTAAGGACTGAAGAGACGAGGAGGGGACAGGGGACAGGGGACATTAGAAGTTCTATCATGTACACTGTGCTACAAGTCAAAGCTCTACCCCAAAAAATAAGAAAAAAAATTCAAAAAATAGCTGAGCACAATGGGGCATATCTGCAATCTCATCACTCAGGAAACTGAGACAGGAGAATGACAAACTCTAGAAGGGCCTGGGTTACACAATAAGTTTAAGACCAGACTACATAATATAGTGAGATCTGGTCTTAAAATTCAAGGGCTGGGATGTATAAAGCTCAATGACAGAGCCTACACCCAACATGCACAAGGCCCAGGGAGGCACTACAGCACCTCAAATAAGAAATCCAACGATCCTATGTGAAGGTACAAATATTCTTAATGTACTGCAAATTTAACAGAGGACCTAAAAATCAACTGCTGCAGGAAAAAACGACCAAAGGGCAACAGCTTTGAAACAAAAGTAACCTTCCCTGGGACCTGCGGAGATCAGAAGTACAGTACTTATGTAGCACGCATAAGGCCCTGGATTCAACCACAAGTACATTAAAAAACAAAACCAAGCCAGGCATGGTGGCCCAGATCTTTAGCCCCAGCACTCAAAAGATAGAGGCAGGTGGGTAAGGTGAGCCTGGTCTACACAGGGAGTTCCAGGACAGTTAGAACACACAGAGAAACCTTGTCTCAAAAAAAAAAAAAAAAAAAAACCCTGAAATTTAAAAAAAATTTTTTTCAACAACAATTTTTCCTTTCTTTTTGTTAATTGCATTAGTTGTTTATAAAGCTGTCTCCTTTGGAGGGTGTGGGAAATGAATGTTAAAACTGGGCTTCCCTAGGTAGCGTTGGCTGGGCTGGAACTCACTATGTAGATGAGACTGGCCTCTTTGGGTGATTCTTCTGCCTCTGCCCCCACATAACAGGTACTTGCACTTGGGAGGCAGAAGGAAAGAGGAGGTCTGTGAAGCTGAGGCCAACCTGGGCTACCATAGCCTAAAAAAAAAAAATCTTAGTAGCCCTGTCCGGTCTGAAATTCCCAATGTAGGCTAGGTTAGCCTTGGAATCTAGTGACTCTGCCACTGTGCCAGACTTGTGGGATTAAAGGCATGCGGCACCTAACCTGCCAGGCTTGCTTTCATCACTGGGGTTTGTATCACAGACTTTGTGTGTGAGGCCAAATAATTGTTCTACCACTGAGCATAACCACACCAAAGGCCAAAAACAACTCACTACTCAAAAGTTCATTTTTTAAAAAATTCTGTCTTTGGCTATCTTAGCTATTTCCACAATTTTTTTTTTTTGTCACACAGCACTTCATAGTCAACCAGTCATTCTCCATGCTGTCAGGAAACTGGCACAGACAGGTGATCTAGCTATCACAACACATCATCACAGGCTGTGGTTTGCCCGGCCAGGAGGGGGTCCTAGTTTCCGGGACTGTCCTTGGGGAATAGGAGTTCTGGTTTGATTTGAAGGGGGAAAAGAAAGAAGTAAAGAAATAGGGAGGTAGAGACACCTTCTTTCTGAAGCTACGTCTGCAGGCTTCCAACTGTCTTTTATTTCAAAATACTCAGCATGTCAATGTGTCAAACTGTGAGGTATCATTTTCTGGGCCCCAATAGGAACTAGAAAACAGATCCTAGAACATGCAAGCTCTTAGTTACTCAACAAGCGCTGAAGACACAATGGGTCCTAGTCTTTGGAGATAGCAGACATGGTCCCTAAAAGTCCGTAAGAAGAAACTATGCTTAATTTCACTTCTTTAACCCACTCAAAGTTAGTGGAGGGAACAACAAATTACTTTAGGAACTACATTTAGAAAATATACCTTTAAATGTGGAAAAAAAGACTTTTCACTTTCAAAGACAACCACTCTAGCACCGGCTCTAAGTAATGCCTCAGTCAGGACTCCAGGACCTGGAATATTAACAGAAAAGTTTTATTTGCAAAATAAACAACATACATAGTCTCTCTCACTATGTGGACCAGGCTGGCCTCAAACTCATAGAGATGGGCCTGGCACTGACAACCTAATGCTGAAATTAAAGGTGTGTACCATCAAGCCCATCTTAATATTTTTCCTTTTTTTGTTGTTATTTTGTTTAGTTTTGTTTTATTTTTATTTATTTATTTATTTATTTATTTTTGAGATAGGGTCTCTCTTTATGTAGCCCTGACTGTCCTGGAACTAGCTATGTCGATCAGGCTGGACTTGAACTCAGAGATCAGCTTGCCTCTGCAGGGATTAAGGGTTTGTGTTACCATGCCTGGCCACAGTCTCTTCCAAAGCAGAGTTTTACACAAGTTTTAAATCTCACAACACTCCCAGATATGATTCTTTTTACACATGTAAAAAGATGATTAGGCACAATATCCCACCAGGTAAGTAGCAGAGCACTGCCGGCTGTCAGTGACAGCAAAACTTAACACTCCTCAAAAACCCCACTATTCCTTTGAAGAAAAACCAGTATATGAGATTGTGGCTTACTTCTGACTCATGGAGTATCTGAATGTTTCGTCATAAAAACTACTGTCTAGTCTAAACGGAACCGACTTTCTGCAAGAAGTGGTGCTTGAAAAAGAAAAAAGTACAATTCGGGACCAATGAGAACGCTCAGAGGGCAAGGGCACCTGGCGTCCAGCCTGACAGCCTCATTTCCATCATTGAGATCCCACAATGGTGTAAGAAGAGAAGTGACTCTCGCTAGGTTTTCTGAACTAAAACACAATAAATAAACATAACTTAGAAAATTAGGGGTGTAAAGGTTAAGAGCAAACTTCTGCTCATCTCACCTGGGTTGCACTCTAGTATAAGTTGACGGGATGGTTTTTGGAACCCCAGCAGGTGTCGTGCCAGGTCCCTGGCCAATTTCTTATTTGCTACGTGACGCGTAGGCTCGGCTCGACCCTTGGGTGCATAAAAGGGTGACTCCTCTAAATCAGGATCAAATAACGGCTGCTGGTAGAACTCAGAGAAGCCACGACGGTTCCTCGCTTGCCAGTCCTTCCGCGTTGCAGCTCCAGACCCCAGAGTGCAAGAGCGACCGCGACCAGCCAGCACTGACAGCGCCAGCCGCGGAGGCAGCCCCATCGCCGCGCCCCACATCCTCCTCTATCGTCCGCCACAACCACCAGTTAGGGCAGCTTCTGCGAAAAACAAGGAGCATGCCATCCCACGTGCAACATCACACAGCCACACCAGGCCGGGCGGAAGAAAACACTACACACGGCGCATGCGAACGCCGGAGCATCAGCCCTTTCTTCACTCGCTTCCGCTTCCGCCCAGGCTCCGCCCCCAGACGCCTGTGAGTGGACTATCCGGGTGTGTCCGAGTTGGAACTCTATGGTCGCCCCGCACTCGGCGCTGCCTCTCTAGCCTCTCGCACTCTATGCTCCTCGGTCCGGCGGCCAGCCGGGAGGGGCGCGCGGGGGGAGGCGGGGCGGGGAGGCTGGAGGTGTCCGAGCCTCCAGAGCCGCGGGAGACCAGAGGCAGCTGTGTGACAGCTCGTCGGCCGCCATGTCAGCCAGCGGGGCTGGAAACAGAGCCGGCTCCCGGCGGTAGTCCTTGCGTTGCCTCGGATGCCCAGGTGAGACGAGCAGCCGGGCTGCAGGGGATCTGCCGGCGCGCGGCGGCCGCGGTGCTGGGGACAGTCGCTCGTTCCTCCCCGGGCGCTGTCCTCCCGGGAGTTGCAGTGGGTCCCTTCGCATCCGCCCCCTCTCGGCTCTCCCGTTTCCCCTGCTTTTCTGCGGGTACGCTGTTGTCGCGCATCGCGCCAATTTCTCCGCGCGCGCTCGCCTCCCCGGGGATCCTGCGGCTTCTACTCCGCGTCGGTGTCTCCCAGCTCGGTGGCCCGGCGCCTATGCTCGCTTTCCTCCGGGTGTTTTTTATTTGCCCCCATACCTTGTTTCCCCTCCACCGCCACCTCTTCGGTCGCCAGGAACCACCTAGTTGTCTTCCTTCTTGTCCTCCCTCTGGGCCAAGATTTACCTTTTCTTTTTAATATGCATGTTTGCAAGACTTAAATTTAAAGCTGAACAAAAAATAAGATTCGAAAGCTTAAAATTCTGTCCTATGTTTCAAAGGATTAAAGCCTTAGGGAGCGTATTTATTCGTCTGTGTAAACTTAGTTAAGCACATTGTACTGTAGAATGCAATTTAAAAGGCCGATTGCAAAGACTAAAAATAGGATGTTCTAATGGGAATTTTGGCAGTCTTTGGGGCAGTGTTAAAAGATCCGATTCTTTCAGAGTGATTTCAGTGTTTGGGGGCTCGGACTCGGAGCTTTACCCATTACCCTTTCCAGCAAGGCAGGAAGCTGCGGCCAATCAACTCCCTAGTTTAAAATATGTACAATCCTTTCTGCTTACTCTGCAGCAGCATCATTGAGCTTGGCATTTAAATGCACAAGGAAAGAGTTACTGAGGAATGTGTCACCTGCCAAGTAGCCCAAAGATTATCCTTAGCTGATGAAACTCAAGGACATAAAGAATTGACACCTGAAGATGGCCTTTTTTGAATAAGTTAGTACACTGTAAGGAGCTATTAACTGTAGTGGAAATCCCGAGGATTCATTAACTAATGTTAATTTTGTTAAGTTTGTTTGTTTGTTTGTTTGTTTAATATAGCCAGGCATGGTGATGTAAGTTTCTAATCCTAGCATTAAGGAGGCTGAGGCTCCACGAGTTTGAGGACCACCTGAGATGTGTTCTGGTTTCAAGGTTAGCTTAGGATACAGTCAGACCATATCTCAGGAAAGGAGAAAAAGAAAGATGATTACCCCCCCAACTGAGCATGTTCATAAACTCAGAAGTAGTCTAGTAACCCTCCCAAAGCAATATTTTAACAATTGAATATAGCAAAATGATTTTTAAAGGTCTATTTATTTATTATGTATACAATGTTCTGCTTGCACGCCAGAAGAGGGCACCAGATCTCATTAAAGATGGTTGTGAGCCACACTATGGTTGCTGGGAATTGAACTCAGGACCTCTGGAAGAGCAGTCAGTGCTCTTAACCTCTGAGCCATCTCTCCAGCCCCAGGAAAATTTTTTTTTTTTTTTTTTTTTTATGTGAGAGTAAGGACAAAATTCACTTACCAAGTTTATCCTTGAGTTTTTCTGCATTTAAAATAACCAAGGATGTATAGTGATAGATCAATTGCTTAGCATGTTTTAGGCCCTGAATTCCGTACCTGACACCACAAAAGGTAAATATACTTAACGCTGTGGGAAAAGTACATTTTTGAAAATCTCATAATTTTGGACCACAGCCTAATCAGTCCTAGAGAATGTAGGGCAGTGTTTATTTTGCTTTTGAGCAGTTGATGGAAGAGAAGTTATTTTTATTTACCTTTTCCTCTTCTCCTCTTCTTTGTTAGGGGCCAAACCCTGGGCCTTACACAAGCTAGGCAAATGGTCTGCCTCCAAGCTACCTCCCTAGTACCTTGTTTTTGTTTGTGTGTGTGGTATACATGTTTGTGTGTCCATGCGCGCGTGTGCCCTGTGTGTGTGATGTCAGATGACTTCCTCAGTTGCTGTCCACTTTACATTCCTGAGACATGTTCTATCCCTGAACCTCTTTCCCTAAGAGCCTCTGTTAGGCTGGCTGGGCAGAGAGCTCCAACGATCTACCCTCCTCCATCCCGTAAACACTGGGATTATAGATTTGTATCTTTGGGGATCAAGAAACAGGTTTTCATGCTTGCAAATACTTTGCTGATTAAGCCCTCGCCCTTGGTTTTTTGAAAGTTTGACTGTGGTTTAAGCCGGTCTTAAATTCATCATCCTCCTGCCTGGCATGTGTCACGTGCTCAGTTTTTTCCATTTTCATGGTGTTAATGGTTTACTTGTTTGTGTTTGCAAGTGCTTCACTAATATAGAAACCAGCCCCATCCCTGGGACCCAGATACTAAAAACGAAACAGTCATTTCACTTTTAAAATGATTTTGGGGGGTTGGGGGTTTGAGGCAGGGCCTCTCTGTGTAGCATTGGCTGTCCTGGGCTCTATAGACCGGTCTGACCTCAAACTCAGAGATCTGCCTGTGAGTGCTCAGATTAAAGACTCTCACCACCATTGTCCAGCTTAAAATGAATCTTTTACTCAATATTTAGACTTTCATTTTTAGACAAACTTAACTAAGGAATTTGTAGACACATTCTTGACAGTTGCAGGTTTTGTATCCTGTGCTATTTTTGCCCCACTTGAAGTAATTTTTCTTTCTAATAGTGCTTTCTTGTTGCTTTGTGGCTGTCTTTAAATTGTTTTTCTTATTAAGTTACCATAATCAAATTGCTTGAGAAAGGAAACTACTGGTTTTTTGCTTGGAACTTTTAAATGAGAACTGAAATTGGGAATTACTGAATGACAGTTCTTGTTTGTGTCGGAATCAAGGCTGGAGCTGCACCATTCAAAAGAAATGGGAGATAATTTTTTTTTTTTTCGAGACAGGGTTTCTCCGGGAGATAATTTTAAAACGTTTCTAGCAGTCCCGTTTACCAGGTGGAATAGCCTTAGTGGCTTTAGTCCTCTGCGTGTCATAGCTGCCAAGACTCCCTGCTAGATCTGCAGTTCTGATGTGGTCACCCTCATAGCCCATCTCGATTGAGACTGACCCCGGTGCAAATGGCCAGGAGTCACCTGTAGCCGATACTGCCCTCCCTCATTGGTTGGCACATAGCCATAAGTTTGGTGTTTGCTGCTTAAAATGCCTTTCTTCCCCGGGAGTCTGAGTCTTTCGGGATTCATAGAAAGGCCCTTATTTATTTATTTACTTATTTATTCTCTTTCTAAGTGCCTCCATTCTTAAATTGAGAAGGGTCTGTGCTGACCCTGAACTCTTGCTTCTCTAGTGAGCACTGGTGTCCAGGACTTGTTTGAGGAGTATCCTCAGATGAATAGAGTGCTCAGTCATTTCCTGGGGTATCATTGTGACAGGTCTTTCTATCCATATGTCAACAGTGTGTCAGGGCTGTATGAGTCTTTGCCTACTAAATCTCTTGGCATTGAGTAGGGAGAACTTGGGGCCTCATGAGACGCTTGACCTTTGTCGCAAAACAGGTAAGGGTACCTGCTGTTTGTTGTTGTGTTATTTCCTGGACTGCTTTCAAGTATGGCTAATGGTTTGGGAGATGTGGTTCTCTGTAGCCTGGTGTTTCTTATCAAGGGCAAGGTAATTTTTCAGGCAAACCTTAGAAGGAAAGAGGGTATGTTATTTTGGCTTTGAATTGGGGGGAATGTGAGTTTATGTTTGTTAAAGGGAAATGTGGCTTCATATAAAGCTGCTGGTGCATCATCTAGGTGCCTACAGGAGCTGCTTTGCAGCAGGTGTGCTAATTCAAGTGAAACCAACCGTGGTTTAGAGCTGAAGTCATCAAGCTTAGAGCTGACCTCTGTGGGGATCTTGTCTTGGTCCAGTCTTGACTACCTTGTTCCAATACATTTCCTAATTAAGACTTCTTATAACTTAATGCAAGAAACATATGTGAGCAGGGTGGTGGTGGCGCACACCTTTAATCCCAACACTCAGGAGGCAGAAGCTGGCAGATCTCTGTGAGTTCGAGGCCAGCCTGGTCTATGGAGTGAATTCCAGGACAGCCAAGGCTACACAGAGAAACCCTGTCTGGAAAGACCAAAAAGAAAAAAAAAAATTCTGCTTCCCTGATCAATAAACAGACTTTCTATCTAAAATCCAGTCTTTATAGACCAGCTCACTGTAAGGCAGCCTGTGGAAAGTTTACAGGAGAAAATACAGAATTGGAAAAAGTTTTTTGTGAAAGAGGTGCACACATTCTGGTAGTGTTTTCATTTGCATTTGAAAATAGAAATTGATTGTTTATTGGTGTCTATCGGTTTGATAAAAAAAGAATACAATATAGAACCACAAAGAGAAAATTGATATAGGCAAAAGGATACAAAGTATCGAATCTGCAGGGCGACCCGGTAGACTGAGCTAGTGCACAGCATAAGAGTGGCAGGGCGGAATAGTGTGAGCCTTGTGCTGAGTGAGTACATCGTAGCCATGCCTGGGTGCATGGGGATACTGACATGATGATTGTGTTTATTTGTTGCATTCTAATAACCACTAATACCATGTATCTTATGTAATACATATGTATCTTATACAATCATACAATACAGATAAAATATACAATAAAGCTTGTTTTTTTAGGCAGGAGGATGGTGAGTTGGAAGTCTACCTAAGCAAATTAGGCAACATAAGGAGAACCTGTCTCTAAAATCTAACCAAAAATCTAAAAGAAGAAAATTAAAAACAAAAAAAAATATTTTTTTTCTTAAAGAAAACCAAGCTGGGTGAAGTTGTATATTCCAGTAGTCCCAGCTATGGCAGAGGCTGAGAAAGGGGGCTCACAAGCACAAACACAGGGTACTGGGAGGGGTGTCAGCCTAGACAGCATAGCTAGATCCCCTCTGAAAAAGAAGAAAAATTAAAACATATTGTTTCCTGCAAGTTAGCCCTAGTAAATTTATTTTAGTTATTTGAGGAAGAAAACTGATAGCCTGGCAATTTTTCAGTTTCTTTAAAAAGCCCCTTTAATGCTTGAAGAGCTTCCAAAAAGAGATGTTCTG